AGGCTGCTGCCTGCTCCTCCACACAGATCCCAACTCTCCCATGATTTAAAGATTCCCAGATCCTGCAAGCCACCTCTGGAGCTCATGATCCTCACCAGCTCAGCTTACTCTGAAACCCCAGGCACACCATTGCCAGCCACCATTCTCCAGGCAGTGCAGCTCCCTGGTATAGGCAGGCAAAGCTTCGGTGTCAGCACTGGCAAAGCAAAGGAAAGGAGGCCTGGAGGCTTCCCTTTCCCTGTTCCCCTTTGCCTGTGTGTTTGGTGTTCCACTGTTGGGTAGTGGTGTTAATTTTTAAAAGACTTGTAGCTTAAAGTGACTGTATGCCGTTTGTGCAGGGAGAGCTGAGATTTGTCACTGTCTCTTTCTTAAATCAGAAAGGAGAGTTACTGAAGGGACAGTTTTGTATTCCTCTGCAAATTGATTTAGGACAACATATAAATCATCTGGTAGGACAAGTAAACTTGCTCTTACCTTCATCACAGAACATTGTCTTGCTTTCCTCTCCTTGCTTGACTGTGTTTCCTCACTCATGTTTCCCCTCATCATACTACTAGGGTAAATAAAAATTTCTGAAATTGTCCTGAGTTTCTCCTCCCTGACCTGTGCTATCCCTTGAGAAGGCAGAATCAACAGCTAGCGAGTAGCAGTGCCCAGGCAGCTCTTCCCCCTGAAGGAGTGTGGATGGAATCACCACTTACATGCCCTGGGATACTTCCTCACAGTACCTTTAGATTGTTTTGTTTTGCTTTGGTGTTGTATTTTTTTTTTTTTTTAATTCAGCTCCTGAAATAATTGCCTTGTACTATGGAGCTTGGAAAACAGTGTTATTCCCCCCTGCCTCCCCGAGGTCTGTTTTGCAGAGACAGATTCTCATAGGGATCTTTTACGAGTTGCAGTGCTGGGGCAGGTCAGAACTGTTTTGCTTGGTCTCTTGAAGCATCACATTTAGGGAAGTGTGTATAAAAACAGGGCAGGCATGAAGTGATTTTTCTTTTCCTTTGGTTATATCCTCCCTGCTTCTGGCACTTCTAGAGCTGTAGTTCCCTTCTTCTCCCTCCCTGCCATGGTGTCCTGCAAAGTGCTTCTGAATTTCTCATCTTCTAAGAGTTTTTATAAATAAGTAGGATTTTCTTGCAATAATGATGCAGGGGGGTTACCTTTGGAAAATGTGCTGAAATGGCATAATTGAGCTGTGCAGATTAATATCCCTTATATGGGTCTGCTCTAGTAGCTTTTGACTGGGAGTTACTTCAGTGGCACTGCGTTCAGATGCTCTAATCATTCAGATACTTAAATCATCACGGTTTTGTAAATGGTGATGTAACAAAAATAACAAGTCATTGATTTGCTGTCTGTGTGCAAGAAAAACAAATCTGATATTTGGTGTGCAATGATGAATGGAAGAGCAAGAATTGTGGAGATTTTGTGCTACAGCTGTAGGCAAGCTGATCAGGCAATGCCGGGTGGCATGCTGAGAGGTAGCACGCGTGGTTTTATTTTTAATGTGCTAATTCAAATGGTTAGAAATTATCTTAGTGTACATAGGTGGATTTCTGTGCTAGTGTCATGTGATTTTTAATCTTACAGGCAAAGTTGTTTTGGTAAAACAGCATTACAGTTAGAAATCCCTAGAGATGCTGACATGTCCGTTTAATCTCCAAAGGGAAACACATGGAAAGGGAGAGGAAAGCCACTCCAAGCTTGATTTAGCCACGTGAGTCTTGCAAAGTATAGCTTACTGCAAAAATTACAAGTAATCAGATGTGCTGTCACAAAAAGACAGCAAAAGTATAAGTATAAACACTTACACCAGCCCCATCACAGGGCAGACAAAGAAGGTTTCAATGGGAGTTTGTATCCACAGATAATGGCTTAAAGTGGTAATTGATGCCAGCTGCATAAAATCACTAGGAAGGGCTCACCAGCTGCCTCTCTCCTCCAAGAAAAAAGGATGTACTTTTGTATTCCTTCATGAGAATGACAATCTCTTGCCTCAGTCGGTTTTAATTTTCCCCTTTTGTGATCCTGGTGCCTCTGTAAATGGAGGGACTGTTAGTGGTGGTGGTGCAGCATGTGTGTTGTTGGGAGGAGGTTGGGGACCTTCCTCTCATACCCCTGGACAGCTGCCAAAACATCTCCCTCTGCACCAGAGGATCCCTGTTGCAGGCTGCAGCTGACCCTCCCTGTGACGCATCTGCCATAAAGAGACCTGTGCGGAAATTGTCTTATCTGGTGAGATTTTTGGGTGGGATTTATCTCGCCCTGATGCGAGACATCTGCAAGATTGGTGTCTGTATCTTGGCTCATGACCTCATCCTCCTTTTGTAGTTAGTGGGGAGAAGTAAGCACCGGTGTTCGTCACATTGTTCGGCCTCTTTCAGATATCCACACTGGGATGAAATCAATTGTAGCCTGGAAAAAATGTTTCATGAGTCTGGACCAGAACAATTTACGTCTGGCCACTTTCTTTTTTTAATTATTGTTATCTTACACCAATCACTGTAGCACAGTGGTACTGCAGCCTTCTCTGTGCTGATTAATCTTCATGATAGTTCCTGTCTCCACAAAGTCTTCAGGACTTAGTGCCAGGGAGTTATTGATCCACACTAAGTAAGTGGAGTCCTCCAAAACCTCTCAAGAATTACTGAATCCATTAATTTTTGTAGGCTGGAATTTGGTCTGGATTGAACTGTAGGTGAGATGCTATTTGTGTTGTGGAAAAATGCTCAATAACAGCTGAAATAGGAGTTTAGGACCATCATTTCCCCTAGTTAAGGGAGATTCCTGGGGTTGTTGAAGGTGCTTGAGCGGGTGCTTTGACAAAGCCACAACGAAAAACTGGAAGAGCAGTAACTGCCTGGCAGTCTGCTGGGTCTGTCTGTGTGCGCCTTTGTTGTTTGTTCTTTGGGGGTTTTTGGGGGGTGGGTTTTTTTATCTTATTTTTCAGAAATAGTTCCCAGCTAAACGTCATTTTGGCTGTTGTTACAACAGATAAACATGAACAACATTTAGGACATCCTGCCCATTGTATTGTAAAAGCTATTGTGTTCATGTACTGAGGATAGGAAATAATTTTAGTGTAAAAAGTCAGTACAAAATAGCAGATTAATCCAGTTATACATACTAAACTATCAGTGATTAAGTACCACACCATTAAGTTTAGCAAAGCTCCTATTACAGGTTTCTGCATAAATTCAAAGTTCTGTGTGGTAGTTTCTAGTACAAGCATGTATTCTTCTTCTCCCTCACCTCTTTGGTCTAAATAAAGAAAAGAGTCGCACAACAGCAAGGACAACAGAAACAGCTGAGGAAGCACTGAGTTAGCTTTTGGCTCAAAAAGGTGTTCTGATAAGGTTTTCTCCTAGGGCTGCTGTTCACTGAGAACTTTGGTTTGCAAGATTATTTTACTGTTTTGTTCAGTGTTCCAGAAATACACAGTGTTTTACTTTAAAGGTGCATCATGAGAAGATTTAAGCACAGTTTATTCCTGATGCATTTTGGGAATGGTTTCATAATGATTTACAAGTAAGCACTGCATCCCACTGTTAGTGTATTTGAAATAACTCTTTGTTTTGCAGAGTAGGGTGATTTCTGTTGCTAAAGTCATGTGTACTGGTGTGTATAAATAGTTAACATGTACTTAGTATTAACATCTGCATATGTCGTGAGTAGGATATTTGATTGCTAGCATGGTACAAATTGCAAGGAAGTTTAAGGCTTAAAATTTTATCATGTAATCAGCTTTGACATTACAGGATAATCAAAATACATACTACTATTTCCGTCAGCCAGGCACCCTAGGGAACAGAGATTTCAGTTTCTTCCTAGAATCAATTTAAAGTACACATTTTCCCCTTGGTTATCTGAGGCTAGAAAGTTGTGGAGCGAATGGAGGTTGTGCCTAAAGGGGTAAACCAACTGCCTTTTCATTTGTTGCCTTGAAAGATGCTAGGTGAGGGCTACCACTGCCTAGGTGTGGTGAGAGAAGAGAGGAAGGGAGCGCTCAGGTGGTGGGATGGTGTATGCTCCTTCTTCTTCGGTATCTGCTGGCTGGCTGCTCAGGTATCGCCTCAAAGCGTGTGCGTATCCTTCCATGCAACATGTCTTGCTGTGGCTTCAAAAACGGATTGTGGGTGTTTTTAAGGAGTGGTTGCATAGTGTTACCCATTTCAGCTCTTTGAAGGGATGACCTCCCTTCACCTCAGCTGCTCTCTGCTTGGCACTTCGCAGAGGAGAGGGGAGCCGGGGGAAATCCTTCCTCTGCCTTTGTGTCCCAGCATCCTGTTTACCGCCCGGGCTCCTGGCCCTCTCTTCCTGATGCACTTGCTCTTCCTGCATGGAGGCAGATGGAGGAGGAGGAAATCTGTGCACGAGGCAAATGCCTTGTTCGCGCAGTGAGGGGAATTCCTGATCACCACCTCTGCTTTCCTGCGCCGGCCTCGTGCTGGCACTGAGGTGGGACCCTGTAGTGTGGGACCCTGTCGTCCCCGCTGTGAGGGGGACCCACCTCAAAGGGCCCACTTGGGCAGCTAGCTGCGCTGAGCCATTGTCTGGCGTTTAAATAGAACTGGTTGCAATTTTCAAAATTAAAGGAAAAAAATAATTAGGAAGATGGAAATAATACTCCTCTATTGTAAATTCGCAGATTTTTCTGGTTTTCTAGTTCTCTGGGTTATGCAGAACAAAAGCTCGCTAGCTATGTATTTGCCTAAGGTATTCTAAGCAATAGGGTTTTCAAACAGATCTGGTTGTCCTCCTTCATTGAGTGAAGTCCAGTGTGTCCTTAATTTACATTGTTGCACTACTGAAAACTTGTGAAAGTAAAGGTCTCTTTTAGACCATCTCAATAAGCAGGATTTTGATGGTACGAACATAAGATGTGTTTACTGAGCATGATGCTGGTTTAAATAGAACTTGTGTCAGACAGAAGAGGAAATAAAAAATGCACGTGGTATATTAAACATACGGGTTTTTTTTGTTTGTTTGTTTTTAAAAAGGATGAAGAAGAAGAAATCAAACTGGAGATTAATATGCTAAAGAAATATTCTCATCATAGAAATATTGCAACGTATTATGGTGCTTTCATTAAGAAAAGTCCTCCAGGACATGACGACCAACTGTGGGTAAGCAGATATTTCTCAAGAATGTTTATAAGTCTTTCCCTTTTGGATATAGTTTGAGGATGACAGATATATCACATTATGAAAAGACATGCTAATAGAATTTGGTGCTTGCCTGAACAGATAGATAAGTGAATCACGTAGGCTAATGACGCATCCTTAAGAGGATGGCTGAACGAAGTTTTGCTATTATCAATGGATTTGCTCTTTAAGTAACTTTTTTCCCCCATTTCCCAGCTGTATAGTAACATGTTTCATGGGAACAAGGCAGATGAGCTGAGCAGTAAGAGTGTGTGACTGTAAAAAGAAAGCTGCACTTGAGATTACTACCCATTATATTTCTCATCCCACCTCACCTACACCCTCTAGAGGTTTGAAGTTTGGGTTTGAAATTTCAGGGTACAGACATCAGTGCATGCTCTTCCATAAATAAAGGGGAGTTAAAGAATAAGATGGGTTGCAGTGGTGTCATCAGTTTGATTCCTTCAGCATTGGATGTGCCCTTACTCCTGTTTCTGCTAATGCATTTTGCATAGCTGAGCAAATCCAGATTCCCAGCATTAAATTACAGTGATTAAATCAGTCCTTGAAAATGTGGTAACTAATGCGAGACATATTCCATATATGTCTGACACACATTGGAGACATTTGGTTTGAATCCATTTTCCAGGCAGAGATGTAAAAAATAAATTATATTCTCTGCTTCACAAGGGTTTCCCAAAGCAATGCTGCAACTTGATTATTTTGCTTTGCTAGATGGCTGGGAACTGTGTTTAATGTTGGTTTTATGCTGATATTTGTTTTGCAGCTTGTTATGGAGTTTTGTGGAGCAGGCTCTATCACAGACCTTGTGAAGAACACGAAAGGGAATACTCTGAAAGAAGACTGGATAGCATATATCTCCAGGGAGATTCTCCGGGTAAGGCAAATAGTCTGCACTATTTGAAAACACAGAAACAGTCTTACAGAGATGTTGTCTAGTTTGAGGTTCTTCAAGAAGCTGTTTTTGATCAATCTCGTTAGCCATGTCATCACTTGGAGAGTGTGTAGGAGTAGATAGATGTCTGCCCCACATCATTTAACTCGGTGTGAGTTGTACTGTGTTGTAACAGCAACCTTGCAGAAAATAACAATTTTTAGTCATGAGAAGCCAGTGAAAGAACCTGTGACCTTACCTGTTGTAAAAGCTGTGAAACAGTGTCAGTAAGACAGTCTTTCTGAGAAGCCTGAGGTTGTAACAGTGTCATAACTCAGTAGGGTGCAGAATGGGCTTTTCCAAATGTGCTTACAGCTGTCTTTGTCTGCTCCTAATCACTTCTGTGGAGGAAGGGAGCTGTTGGCCCAGGCCAGCAGTCAGGACTTCTGTGCTGCGATGTGCTCATGTATTGCGTATTCCTGGAGTCTGTTTAGAGCAAGCAGCTATGTTGTATGTGACTGTGCGCTGTAGAGTGCTGGCAGATGGTGCTGCAAAAGTTTCTCAGGAAGAGGGATGCCACTTACCAGTTTTTCTAAAACTGAAGCTTTAACTAATTACTCTTCATATTTAATTTCCAGTTGGTACAGTTTAAGTCCTTTCTGAATTGGCATTTGTTTGCTGCACTAAGTGAATCTGGTATAGTTTTCCTCATGCTTCTTTGTAAAACAAATTGCCTCCTACCCATACCACTACACAGTACGTGTGTTCAATTGCCTCATCAGAGAAGGGCTTTATGTTAAAGGAAACCACCACTGCCTCTTGCATAAATCAGTGCTGCTGTTGTCTGTGTTACACGTTTGCTCTGCCTTGGTGATTTTTAAGGTGGGGAGGGAGAGAGATGTATAAATCTGGTCTCTTGCTCTAATTCCAAATTCTAGGGGAGAGTCTGGCTGCTGGCATTTGGGCTGGCACATTTAAGTTGCTTGTGAGGGAGAAGAAAAGTTGAATAACTACTGATGGTTATATTTCAAATCAAATGGATAGCATGTTTGATATGAGGGAAGCTAACTTCTGCAGGACTGATGTTGTGCTTGATTTGAGAACAACTGTGTGACCTTGGAGGTATTGCATGCTAAGTTGCATTCATCCTAGGTTCTGCTTAGGTAAAGTGGTAGTCATGCTCTCTGAGAAGTGGAAAAAATAGTTTACCTCAGAAAAGAGTTAAGTGAAGGCTGTTTTCTCATTCCTGTGAGAGATTTGCAAAAGGAGCCTTAATTGTTTCCTAGCAGGAACTGGAATATCTGGAAAAAAAGAATGCCAAACTCACATTGCTATGAGACAGTGCAAAACCTGATTCGACACCGAGTTTGTCAGGGACAGAGGGGAGAGGTTGCACAACAGAAAGTTAAAATGAGCTAAACTGACAAAGATTGGTTCAGGTGGAGACACAGTTGAAGGTCAACCCGACAGATCCCTGTGTGGTTGGAGGGGCCTGGGGTCTGCATGAGAATGGAACCATGCCCCTCTGTCTCCTCCCAGCCTTTCGCAAACCTGAATGTGTTTTTTTCAGTAAGGTTAGATGGTACTCTGGAGAGAACAGACGATTATCTCTCTGGCTGGGTCAGCCTAGCAGAAGGCTTTAAAACCTATCCTGTGTGAAGCTGTGGAAAAGCCTTAATTCCTGTGAAAAATAAGACCACACTTAGCATTAGCAGCCAATGAAGGGTCTTGGGGACATCAGCCATTCACTTGATTTGCTTGTGAAATGCGTGGGGAGGAGCTGTGGATGGTGTTTTCTTTGTCACACTCGTTAACTGTTTTTAAAAATAAGATAGCCCAATGGTTATGTAGGCAAACTGGCAAATGATCATTTAATGAAGAACATGTGTTAGGAAATATTTCTCTACAGCAACCACTACTCTCTTAACCTCTTGCAGCTGTAAAGGTTCTATTTCTTTATTTTTCATAAAACATTAAAAGCCTATGAGGGCAACACGAACAGGCAAGACGATCCCACCGGAGACTACAATTTTCCGAGCAGAGAGCTGAGGAGAAACCAAAATACAGGCAGTTGCTAAGAGGGTTGCCTGTTGTTCTCCCAATTACATTAGAGAGTAAAATACAACATATGTCTTTCTCAGCCCTCCCTCCACATGGCTAACGCTTTGGGGCATGCATCCAGGTGCTGTTTCAACAAATAGCATCGTGTGCCAGGAGGTTTTGTTTCCTTTGGAAAGTATAATGCTCGTGCTTTCTTTTTTCTGCATTTTTTTTTTCCTGAGGAACAATTATCTGGCTTCATATTAATGGAGGCTAGAGAACTGCAGCTTTGCAGCAGAGCTTTTGTTTGTTCTCAGTCTTTCCTCACCCTCAAACACAACTGCCAGTCCATCGCCCTCCCACCTCCTTCTTGGGGGTGCATGTATGCTTGCTGATGCTGCCTCCTTTCTCCCTCCATCCTCTTTCCCCAGACTAAATTCTGAGTGACCCTGTGTGTGTCAGATGTCAGTGACATACACTGGTGCACATGTCATTTGCAGTGTCACATTGCATGAAGACTTTATGGGGGCTGATCTTTCTTCATGTGACTGCTGAGAGGTGTTTGCACAGTGCAGATTTTGGGCTGTATTTAAGTACAGCATGTGCATGACCTGGGGCCTGGGTCTCTGCTCTGTTACCAAAAGCTCTGTGGGCAGTGTGGTGCTACAAGGCTCCCACAGGTCCCATTGCACCCAGCTGCTGAGCAAGAGCCCAAGACCCAGTGCTATGGGCTTTGGGGGTGCTGGGTGCCAGTAGTCTGTTGCTAAGCCAAGAGCCTAACTCTGAATGTCTTCTTCCTCTCCTCTTTTTAATGCAGGGGTTGGCACATCTTCATGCCCATCATGTGATTCACAGGGATATCAAAGGGCAAAATGTGTTGTTAACAGAGAATGCAGAAGTGAAACTTGGTAAGTAGGCACATACGTCCACTTCCTCATTTGTTCAGCCTTTGTTTTCTGATGTTCCCAAACTGATTTTATCCTTCAAAAGCACTGCAACACATTCTGTAGCATGTGCCCTCTGTCACTGCTCCTGTGTGAATCGAGGCCCTGCATGTATTTCCTCTTGCTTTGGGAGGAGGGCATGCATTTAGTTGGAAGATAGAATCATAGAGTCATTAAGGTTGTAAAAGACCTCAAGGATCATCAAGTCCAACCGTCAACCCACACCACCTAACTCACTAAACCATGTCCCTAAGCACCACATCTACACGTTTCTTGAGATGTTGGCTTTCATGCCCGAATCGGTGAGGGGACTGTTTTGTCCCCCTCACCGAGCTGTGTGTGACTCGGTTTGGTTCTGATTCCCTTTTTTCAGGACGCAGGAAGTGATGGGAGTCACTCTTTTTTGTGTGTTTTATTAAAATGCACCTGCTGTGCAGGTTCTGGACACAAAAATGTGTTCTGGACAGCACTCTTGAGAGAGCTGTGGCGTCAAATCTGAAATGTAGTTCCAGCTCTGGCATACCTGCCAAAAACCATGCTTATCTCTGGCCTCTTCTCTCCCTTCCAAGTGGATAAACTCTTTTTTTCCTTCTCTCTAAACTGTCTCTTCCAGTTACTGCACATTTTAACCTTCAGTGTTTGTATCACGCTACATTCACCACCTTTTCTTGGTTAAATATAGAACCATGCTGAAGCCCTCCCACCCAGCCCACATCCCTTCTGTTTTGCATTACACCTTCCTGCAGCACAAGGCATGGGAAGATGTCCTGGCTGCTGGAGGAGGAAGTTCTTGGAGAGCTTTCCTCCTTTTGGTCCAAAGCGGAGCACGGTAGCTCCCAAACCGCTGCTTCCACCGAACTCGTCTACACCAGTTTGTCAGTGTTGCTCAGATGATGGATGCAGTGAAGCTGACACAGCCCTCCTAGAGCAGATGCAGTTACTAATATAGAAAAGCATGCATCACTGTTATGAGCGGGAGAACTGAAAGGAGGACAACACACTTGTAATCGCTCTGTAGTGAAATGGGCATCTCTTTTGCAACCTGTGTGTGTATATACTTAAAGTTGGCACTTCTCATCTTTTGCTCTTATCAACGCATCTGCTCTGTGCATTAGAGCAGAGAGCAATTCCCTGAGCAGCAGATTATTTTTGCAGTCCGATTTTAGAGCAGAAAAGGTAGACAGCTGAAAAGGAGATGTGTTGACACATGTAGTTTTCCCATGTCATGAGAGGTACCTTTGGGAAGCAGCTCCCTCTCTATAGGAAAAGGTGCTTGGCTTCACCAGTTGGGAAGGGAATAGCTGTTCCTTGGCCTCCGAGGCAGTATTTTTGTAGCTGTAAGCTCCCTTCTGTACAGGCAGGCTGGTGAGAGGTGCAGGAGAGGTAGTTATATGCTGCCGTGTACCTTGATGCTTGTGGCCCAAGCATGTTGCATGTGAACCACAAGGGCTTGGCTGCCTCTATATTAATCATCATATTTCTCTTCAGCATGGTCCTCCCATGTGGAACATCCACAAGGTTTTATTTCCAGATCACCTTACAGAAGTAATCACTGCATTATTTTTCCTCTCTTACTTTATTTTACTCTTTTCCCACCCGCAGTGGATTTCGGTGTGAGCGCTCAGCTGGACAGGACAGTTGGCAGGAGAAACACTTTTATTGGAACTCCGTACTGGATGGCTCCAGAAGTTATTGCCTGTGATGAAAATCCAGATGCTACATATGATTACAGAGTAAGAGAGTCCTGTTCACAGAAAAAACACACCCCAACATGCAAAAATGCATCCACTTTCATTATGAGTGTCCATGAATTATGGCAGTTTTTGAGGCTTCTTATGCTTTGGAGGAGTATCATAGAATGATTTGGGTTGGAAGGGACATTGAAGACCATCTAGTTCCAGCCCTGCTTCCATGGACAGGAATACCTTTCACTAGACCAGATTGCTCGAAGCCCCATTCATTTCCACCTGGCCTTGAATACTTGAGTAATACTATTTTGTGTAGGTACATTCTTATTACAGGAGTACAAGGTATGGGTCACTGTCAGATTGTGACCTTTAGCAGTTGCCATTACTTGGATTACTGTAGCTTTGAGACATAAGGAGTACAGGAGTTCAGTGTGCTTTAGGCGCTCAGAGAAGGCAAAAATGAGTTGAACTGGAAACGTTCGTGTTCTCAATTTGTATAATGATTGTACTTCAAATTGTGTTAAACTGTGTCCCAGTTATTGTAGTAACAATGCATTTTAGGTGTTACCTTAAATAGAACCATCATCTGGAGAGCCAGTGAAGTATAGAAGGAGCTCTTTAAACCATGCCTATTCCTGAGTTCAAGATACATATATACATGTTGATAAAAATGTATCCATCACAACATTTCTCAACAAAGATAATTTTTTTTCCATAGTTTGCTGCAAACCAAAGATTTAATTACTGCAAAACCATAATTGGCTTGATGGCATTTCTACTACCCTTAAGAATATTATGTATGTGTATTTCAAGTTAAATTTATCTAATGAGAGCATCCTGTAATATTAAAAGTTCTCAACTTGCTTTAATGAAAGCACAAGGAAGGAAAATATGTGAAAATACGCTTTTTCAAAAAATCTTCACTTAGACTAATGCAATTGTTAGAACTTGTAACCAAGAGGGGCAACAAAGATATCAGCCTGCGATTAAGGCCTTACAGTGAATTTTAGAGCTGAATATAAACTATATCAATTTGCTGAGATTGATAATGGTGTTAGCGATCAGTATGTTTGTATATGTCTAAATCTATTTTTAAAATCCAGATAATTTGAATTGGTGTTGTACCTTTTGACTGAGATGGATCCTATTTGTCTTGATTTAATTGCTTTTTGCATCCATCACCTCACTGTACTGGAGATAATGCTTTGTATCTTTGCAGAATCTGAGTTATTAGGAAGGAAGGGTGGCTATTAAATAAAGGAGAAAAACTCTCTGTTGTATTTGTTATATAGTAGTGGTGTGAAAAATACACTTGTTTATTGTTCTGGTGGAACCCGTAGGGCTCTTCCCACTGTGTCCCCTCCCCCCAAAAAAAGTAATGGTTGAAAGATTTTGTAAGATCATGAGTCTGTACAATTTAGCTTAAATGGCTGGATTGGACCAAGAGAAATTATTGCCTTGCTGGGTCTGAAAATTAGATCATTAGAAATGTTCCTCTGCTTGTAGTACAGAACATTAGTTGTGACTCATTTTTTAAAAAAATCATTATTATGACCAAAAAATTAACACTACTTTGCTCAAGAACAGAGCTCCTGTGTTTTGCCCCTTAAACTGCAGAAGTCCCTGGATTTGGTTCCTTGCCAGGAGTCTTCCAGCTCTTGCTTGTGTTTGACCCTCCTGGCTCTTGCTCAGGCCTTCTTAAATCAGGGGTGCTGGCCAGAGGTGGTACCCTGAAAGGCTCCTACTGGAGGACTCTTGTTCTGTAATGTTTCAAGCAAAGCTGAGATGGTAGGCAAGGCGTGTTTGCTTTGGCTCCAAGTAATGTGTCCAACAGAGGCTTCTTACAATTTTAACAGTGATGGCTATTCCCCTATATAAAGGTGTTATTTGATTATTGGGACTATGAAAAGTTGAGGATTGGGTGTATTCTACCACTAATCTGTATTTGTTTATTTGCTGGTTTAGACACTGGAAAAGACCTGCCAGGTTTTGGGTTTTTTGCCCACAGTCTTCACAGCCTTTCATTCTCTCGATCTTTTGTTTGGGGAAATGAGTACGATGTTTTCTGTGAATCCACTAAAGAGAAATGTTCAGTCCTTTCTAAACAAGGGAATATTCTGTTGTTTCACAGACTTTAGAATTCAGGCAGATGTATTTTTCACTGTCGTAATGTGAATATATTTTTACATGTTATTAGAAAGAGTTGTTCGCATGCTCTATATGAATATGCGCATGCATTTGTGCATATATATATGTACTATGTGACGAGTAGGATTTTATGATGCTGTTACAAGAAGAAAGTAGCTTATATTATTTAAATAGCCATGGTATTTGGTTTCAGTCTCACCTACAGAGCCTCTGTAAATAGTACTCTCTTACTGTCTGAATGGGTAAATCCACCTACTAACATATGGTCTCTCTTTTTATGCAGAGTGACCTTTGGTCATGCGGCATTACAGCCATAGAGATGGCAGAAGGAGCTCCCCGTAAGTGATACGTGTGCTTCTCCAGTGGGCTGATTAAGACTAAAACATATACTTGGGAGATGCTGGTTGTAATCTAAGTCTAGTTTTGAGGTTTCTGAAAGTATCCTCATGTTATTTCTGTTCTCTTTGGTTTTGCCTGCCCTATAAATATAAAATCCCATAAATAGCAGTGCTTTTGATAAAGATAGGCTAGTGTGTAAGCACTACAGGACAGACTGCAGTAATTTAATTTCTATAACAGGAATATTTGGACGCTAATTGAGCATCAGACTTCCTTCCTATGGGTAGTATATTGTGTTTTGGAGTTGTATCCCAATTTGTGTATGGCCTATCCTGGGATGCTAAAACCTCAGCTGGGGAAAGGGGCAGTGGGGCCTCAGGAAAATTAACCTTAATGGAAAAAGCATCTGTAGCAATTGTTCATATGTTGGCTTTCCATTGGTCTGGATAATGCTGACATTGCTTCTCCGGTGGGCAGTGTTGATCGTCCTTAGCAGTGACATGCCTTAAACACTAAATCCGTCTTCAACACAGAATATTAAAGTTAATGCTCCCCACTTGAGAACACTCATCAGCTGATATGGGTATTTTTGAGACAGAAACTTGGAAACCTAAAATGCATAACTTTTTATAGCCTATTTTCCTCTTACGTACTTATTCTTTCTGAATATCAAGGCAAACAGCAGATATGTATGAGGAAGACAGATTTAAAAAGAAAAGAAATTAGGCATGATGTTTTGGCTTTCAGTGGTAATTTTTCTGAAAATTGTTATTGAACCAGCAAATATGCTTACCCCTAGCCCCAAATGGACCTCTGTATTTAAAAAATAACAGCCTAAGGTACCCAAGAGTGAGTTAGTTTTATTTTTCTTAAGACATAACCACCACACCATAGCCAAGCTTGAAATCTCTGTCTTTGAAATAATCATGCTGAAATGAAGCACTGATATTTTCCTAACTAAAAAGTGGTCATTTCATTATAGTTGCTGCCTGATTTTTGTTGTTGTTGTTAATGTAAAATTTACAAGTTGAAGCACAATGCTCTTGTTTTGATTCCTATTTTAGGAGGTCTGATGGTTTGGGTTGTTTTTCTTCCTTCTTGATTGTACGTTTGCATGAATGCCCATGTGAGAGCTGCTCCCAGGACACCTCAGCGAGTGCTGTATTAACAGCATTTTAGCTACCACTTGACCTCCTTTTTGCTGTACCTTTTTGTTCAGTGCATTGGGTTGCCTGGGTGGCTTTCAATTAAAAGCAGTGTCTGTGGGTTTTGTAAGCCTGGAATTGGACAATAATATTTTTTCATTTCCAAACGGAAGCAGAGCTTGGCTCCTCTTTGTGTAAAAGCACAAGAGGGGCATTTGAGAAGGAAGCAAAGATCCAAAATAGATGCTGAACATCTCTTGCCTTGGTCTGTCCTCTGGCATGTGGGCTCTGCCTCCTCCTCCAGCAGTGGCTGAAGAGTCCATCTCTAAGCTTGGTGGTCTGATGAGCATCCACAGACATCCAAGGGTCTTCTCTGACAAGGTTGTGGCCCCTTATCTCTGAATCCAGAATCCTGTTCACATCAGTCTGTTTCTCCTGAATTTCTGCCGTGTGGAAAATGTTACTTCTTCCTGGGTTGGTCATTCAGGCTGAGACTGATGGTGCAAGAGGTCAAGCATAGGAAGATGGTAAAACCAGATTTGCTTCTAGCATCCCTTCTTGGGCAGCCACGCTTCCTGCTCCCTTGTTTCCCTACGTTGGCTCTGCTGTGGTCCTTTGCTTTGGAGCAGGAAGGAAGGTTGTCCTTGATGGACTCCCATTAAGTGTTCACTGAAACCAAGGGGACTTTTTGACAAAAGTTGTGGGTTTGCATTTCAGGTCTGCAGGGAATCCTTATTTTTTTATATAGAACCTCCCATGCTTCAAAACCATCAGGCCTTGGAATAAAGAAAAGCTCCAGAGTAAAAATGAGGTGTCCTGCCTTAATTGTCTGTGTAATGGGAGAGGAGGGCAGGTGGAATGAAGTTTGTTTGAAACAGTAACTCTGTTTTTCTTCTCTTCTGCTCTCATCTTCTCCCAATATTTTATTGACTGGAACGTAAGTTAGATGACTTGGGGCTGGAGGAGGGCTATGCACAGGTGTTCCCATCATGCTGGAGTCTAAAGGTTAATCTGTGCCTCAATCTTTTTCTCTTTTTGGTGCTGCCCTTGGCACATTGAACTGTGGATTTGTTGTCATTTTGGGCTAATTTCATTTAATTGTGTTGCTGTCTGCATCTGCTGCATGCGCGGTTGGGATGGTGGGAATGATTGTGGAAGCGGAAGCCATGGTATTGACAGAGAACAACTAAGCCAACATCTGTATGTCTGTGTTTGGCTTTGTTTTCTTTCCTTCAGCGCTTTGTGACATGCATCCCATGAGGGCACTCTTTCTGATACCCAGGAACCCTCCCCCACGGTTAAAATCCAAGAAATGGTATGTATTAGTTATCTTTTGTTTGTAGCCCCTTTTGTAGTGTGATGCTTTCTCGTGTCTCATCATATACTGTTTTGTTACTTCTTCCACAGAACTGTAAAGCAATTTAAGTTAGCAAAAATCACTCTGTTGTTATCTTCTGTGCCACTGAATTAAAGCATGAAATAGAAAGCGTGCATTGTTTATTTAGTTCTGTTTGTCCCAGAGAAATTTTATCTTGAATTGTGTGAAAATAAAAACCAAGCCTTTTTTCTTGACAGAGCAGCATCTGTATTAAGGTGACAAATGGATCCATATTTTAAAAAATAAACTCCCACAGAACTCTTAATATGCAGTATGTTTTCTCAGATGTATCGTTAACACAGAAGCAGAAGAGTACTATAGCTTTCTAGTTGCTGAGTTGAAAGGAGCTATTAAAACTAATGAAGGCTTTTGCTATAGTTATTGTAAACAATTGGAATCGAGTGTGCACTTCTTTCCAGCTGAGAAGAATCCATTAGCATCAGAGGATTTCGTCTCAGTTACTGGTTACAACTGGCACATATGAAACAAAAATATTCCCTAGAAAAAGGTTTTGTATAGATTGAATGTGATCACAGGATGCTGTGATCCTGTCAAAATAATGAAGTGATTTGACTGCCTGTTCAATATCAACATAATATAAACTTGGCTTGCTTGCTGGGCTTGGTCTTTGCCTGGATTGACTTATTTATGCGCTTGTATTGTCAAGGCATCCCTCTCCCTCTCTCATACTTGCTTTGTGCGTAAGTTAAAGGAATAGAGATGCATATCCAGTATTTGCATAAGCCTTTCATTAACCTTTTTATTTAGAATAATAACACTTAAGGCTTGAAGAACTGGAAAAAAACAGTGAAGTTACCTTGAATTCAGCCTCTTAGATTACAGTAGGAAAGTGAAGCGATGGATGGAAACCGTTGTTGTTTTTACACTTGACCATGCAGTGGAGGCTTTTGATGCCTGAGCACGGGAGCAGGTTGAGAGCACCTAGCAATCAAAAAGTAACTCTGACCAAAGCCAGTGCTGCTGCAACTCAACTGTTTTTTTGCTCAGTGGCAGTTTTTATAAGAAAATAGACTAAATGATGAAAAATGCAATTTTGAATATTTCTGTTAATGGCGTTTTGCACAGTGGATTGTTTGGTGTCTTCTGTCTGGAGACATCCTCTTTCAAGAGTTAAAATGAAGTGCAAATTTAGGAAGGTGGTGCTCCAGCCTGACTAACTCCTATACCCCATCACTTTATGTGGTGTGCAGTTCAGTTCATGTCCTTAAATTTAGTTGCTGAGAATTTGACCCCAAGTGCCTCTGAAGAGTGTTGTCTGTTCAACACCCTCCTGTTGTTCTGCGGGGTTTTTTTGTGCATGGCTCTTCAGGTAAAGAAATAAAATAATCATAAATTCTCATGGATCCATCACAGTGAGCCCAGGTGCGTACAAAAGCAGCACAGTGCTGCTCGTCTCAGGGGAATGTTGTCTGCAGTTCTTGTGGCTTTTGGTATGGCTGTTCTGAAGCAGACATGCCCTTAGATAGCATGGGCAGGTGGAGGCACACCAGAGCTGCCCTGCTCCAAGCAAGCTGGATGCTACCCAGCTCTGGTCTAGAAGTAGCAGAACTGGGTTTGCATGATTTGCCTTTACTAATAGATCCTGCCTTTCAGGGCAGTTATGCCTGTGAAAGAGGACACGTTACTGTGAGGCTATTCCTAAGCACTGCAGGTATGTTTGTATCGCCCTGTGTCCACCCAGCCCTGTGTTGATCAGCCCAGAGCTCAGCTGGAGCACACTCAGCTCTGTTTAGGATGCACACTTGCAGACAGCACTTGTACCATCCCCTGGGATGTGATGCTCTTTGGGAAAGGAATTAGGCTTTGAGGAAGAATAGAAAAAAATGTTTGAGCTAAGTTTTACCTGTGATCTTGTTTTGTTTTTGTTTTTTTTCCCTCCATGCTTTCTCAGGTCAAAAAAGTTTTTCAGCTTTATAGAAGGCTGTCTAGTGAAGAATTACATGCAAAGACCTTCAACAGAGCAACTCTTGAAACATCCCTTTATACGTGACCAACCAAATGAAAGGCAAGTCAGAATCCAGCTTAAGGACCATATAGACAGGACCAGGAAGAAGAGAGGAGAGAAAGGTATTCAGCTTCTAACAATCAAGTATTGCATCTTGTTAAGAATACATATTTTTGTCCTGCTTTCCAAATCCCCACCCCTAGAAAAGCTCCAAACATCCCAAATCCTTGAAAGGTTCTTTTTTAATTCGTTTCGACTATCAGCAGATTTTAGGTTTTGTTTCTACAGAGGAAGTTTCAATTTTAAGTGTCTTATTTTCAGATAATTTCAATTTACTCTCTTCTGGGCCACTGCCTCTTCCATATAAACATTAAACATTATTTAGGAGGATATTGGCACATATGACTTTCTCTTTTTTGGTCTGTGGTAGATTCGTTCCTGGAATGATGCCATAAATCAGACTTGTAGGAAATAACCCATCACAAGAGCTATGAAGCGAATGTTTTGGGCAGCCTGTACTCTTTATGCAGGTGGTGCCGACGTTCCCTAAGTGTCTTATCTTACATATAAAACCTGGTGTCATTCAGGGAATTTGCTGAAAGTCTGCTGCAAAGCACTGTGCTGCTTTACAAGTGTGGGAAGATGGCCTTGTATATGCAGAATGAGTTCTAGGCTCTGCAATAGATCTTCTCACAGAAGGGGATAAGAACTGGTTCACTAAGGCACTACTGCAACTTCTCACTGTTCTAAAATTAAAAATCAGCACTATCTGCACCTTTGTTTCTTTCCCATTAGATGAGACGGAGTATGAATATAGTGGAAGTGAGGAAGAAGAGGAGGAAGTGCCTGAACAAGAAGGAGAGCCAAGGTAATAAGTGACATCGGGAGGTTTCTGCACAGTCCATGCCAAGTTAGTCTAAAGATCTGTGACTATAAATCAGGAGCACACTGAATTTCTGTCTCCTATTAAGTGAACGCACAAGCCGCACAAATCACCCAAAGGATTTGAATACCTGTTCTGTGACTGGTAAAGATTTTAAAGGTCCCCCTCATGTAGCTTAAAGCCAGCAAGCTCTGGATGGAGGGAGATTTACGGTAAATACGATCAAGGGCTCCAAAATGTCAGAGTTGGTCCCTATTTTGCTTGGCCTCATTTTACACCTTCCACTGAGAGTGTGTATTTGACACACATCCAGTGTCTTTGCTCTGAAAGAAATAAGATTAAAATTTAACATCATACTATATTTTATTAATGTTCCCCTGCTTTGGAAAAGGTATTTAATGGACCATCAGGGTTTATTGTACTGGAGGCTTTAACTTCCTCTTGTTGCAGTTCCATTGTCAATGTGCCTGGAGAATCAACCCTCCGACGTGATTTCCTGAGACTGCAGCAGGAAAACAAGGAACGGTCCGAGGCCCTTCGGAGACAGCAGCTGCTGCAGGAGCAGCAGCTCCGTGAGCAAGAGGAGTACAAGAGGCAGCTGCTGGCAGAGAGGCAGAAGCGCATCGAGCAGCAGAAGGAGCAAAGGAGGCGGCTAGAAGAGGTAGAGATAGGAAACTGGAGCTTGGGGGGCAAAAGCCCCACTACTGCTTGTGTTTCCCATCCCACCCCCACTTAAAAAGAGTTCCCTGTAGCCCCAGCACATCTCAGGAAAGAAAATAACAAGTGCAAATCTGCTGTCAAATGTAGAGCAAAGCACTTAAATCCATGTCTGGCTACTTGAATATGAGCAATCTTCAAAAGCAGTTAAATATCCAGCAGCAACTATGGAGGCAACAGGAAC